TATGGAAAAAACAGGCATGAAACATGGTCACCCACAAAATGTAAATACTCTTCTCCATGTCACAGCTGGCATCATATAATTTACAAAATGTACGACAATGTTTGCTGGCTAGTCTTTAAGTGAAGCTTTTTATTTAGATTTTACGAGGATGTGATTCTGATATTCAAACTTTTAAAAAACATTGTATGCTCCAGGCTCAGTTGCTGTTAGAAATGAGTAATAATGCCTTTCCTAAATGGAATTCCACCTTAGAGGCCTTGGAAATGCTACTTTTCAATTATTCTCTCACAATGACTGACATGATCGTGCATGAAAACCATTTTCTCGGTCTTGCATGGGAGATGACTGGACTTCTGTTTTTATGTGGTCTTCTCAGAGGTTAAGCATGTGGACTCTGAAAAGTTGGAAAAAGGTGACGCCACATAACTCTGGTATGAGTTAAATGAGAATCTAATAATAATAAGTGAATCGTTTGGTCACCATTGATTACATTTGGTCAAAACAAACCCACATGTACTCATTCCCAGTGAAGAAGGAAACTATCAGATTTTTGAGGGTTACATTTTAGATAAATAAGAGTTTTTACATCAGCTTTTTGGAGGTTTGTGATCTGCTAATTGTTCAGCTGTCTACCTCTAACTTTCATGTTCAGTTCTCTCTCAAAGCTCTTTCGTTTCATATTGCAGCAGTATGAAACTGGAAGAGGCCATAAACAAATAATGCACTTACATTTGCCTACTGACAAAAACCATAACTCCAATATGTACAAAAGCAACTGTTCCCTAACAAGTTGAAAGGTCATATTATGGTAATGCTTGTTTCTGCGGCTTACAAGAGGTCAATAAAAAGGTGTTAATGCAGATTAATAGTTTATTATCTAGGGCTTTAGGAGGCACTTCAGTCACCTGCAAAGTGGAAGATGTTCCACACTTCTGACTTTGTTATTATTATTATTATTCTTTTTTACAATGCAGTCTATGAGCTTTTTTATGGCTTGAGAGTTCCCACTGTACTGAAGCACAATTTCGAGAACAGTCAAGCGTTTTTCTCCGTGGGTGCCGCTGCTGTTGGCCCCAGCTCTCTGTACAGACAACTGTAATTTATCTGTGACAAATATGGAATGACAGAACACTGGCTCTCGCAAGTTTATGGTATAACAAACAAGAAATACATTTTGCAAGTTATTTTAGAAGTTCAGTCATGCTGACTGCAAATGTCCAGCCTCAGCTAATGCTACCAACCATTCACAGAAGCGCGCAGGACAGTGCACACCACCACCAGCAAAAGGACATGACGAGTCCCACGGACTTTGGCCAGCTTTATCTCCCTGGTCTTGCACACTCACCGTCAGCTTTTAAACTCATAAACCTTGTAAAACGACTCAACTGCAATACTGGCCATGTGGCTCTATAAAACACAACGTGGCATATTGTAATATGTATATCTATATATGTCTATAACAGTACATTTCAAAAGAGACTTAATTGCAGCCATATGGAGCTTTTGGCTGTCATGAAATGAATGTGCAGCTCAAGCTCGATGAAAGAGAATATTAAAACAAAAAAGCTCTTCATTCTTTGATTCATTCACATGTCTATTTTGGGGAGAATCTAAGCGGAAACACATGCTGTGACAACTTCCCATTTCCGAACTGTCTGCCTGTAGCCAGCACACTTTTTATCAGGTGTGTGTGACAAGGAATACCAGTTGTGCTTTCTCAGCAGTTGTAAGAAGGAAGAAATGAGTGAAGAAACTTCCTGAGAAAAAATGCTGATAAAGAATTTATGGAGATGTAAACGTGACAGAAAACAATCAACACATTTAAAGAGCCTTCAGTCAAAGTGTCATGTAGAAAGTGCTGATGGATTTGTTTAGTGTTTTAACACCAGGGAAGCAGAAAAAGACCTTCTTTTTTAATTCTTCCTTTTCGCTTTAAACAGCGGTTCCAACTGTTTTTGTATCAGTGATCTAAGGTCAGTTATTATGATCTTATCAGTTATTGATCTTAGATCAGTATTGTTAGATTAAAAAAAAAAAAAGGCTTCAGTTAATCAACGTTTGTAGGAACAGTCTGCCACATGTTTACCCTTTTATTCTGCAACTTTAAATACATTTAGTGTTGACCCGAAACTAATAACTGTACTGAACAAGTGTGTAACTGTGTGTGAGTTGTGTAGGTTTGTGTGTTCCACCTTAGTGAACGTGCACTCACCATTTCACGTTCCATGTCAGCAGGAACGCGGCAGGTCACATTGTGGTGGAGAGGCCGGTTATTGCAACAGAAGGACAAATGAAAAATGAAACAAAACATTAATGAGTGGACATACTGTGTAAAACTCTAAAAGATCACCTTACCCGGTGGTAACAACCCCGAACTGCACTTGGTGAAATTACGCACAGCGACATAATTCATTGTCATCTGCTCATGTCTCGTGGCTTCTTCGGCCGCACAAAGTAAATAAGACTGAATTTGAAACACCAGTGAGCACTTTACCTTTGTCTTTAGAGAGGAGACACAAAGTTCCCAAACCGCAGCTGTAAACACGGTGCGTGATCGCAGACCACGGACACCGTCCTGGAGCTCGTCCGAGTGCCAAGGATCAGACACCTGTAAGCGCCTGCTTTGGCAGACCTTCCCAGAGACGGGTCGACTTAACCCCGCCCCTACAGCCTGAAAAACGGCCCCCATGGTACTCCTAAACGGGCACGCCCACGGCAGCCGCCAGCATAGAGTCAGTGCCACCTGCTGGCAGCCTGCAGGAGGAGGATTGATGTGTTCGATCATAACCAGTATGTGACTTGGCCACTAGAAGGCCTCGTTAGGCTGAGCTACACTGGATCCTCTTATGATGAGTCCGCAAACCACACAGCTTAAAGGTAGCGTTGGCAACATGTACTGCAATGGTAGATTTCAGCCGTGTAAGAAGTATTTCCTTTACATCCTGTCATTAAAAGTATCAGAATTCAAATATGTATTTATACCAACACAAGTAAAAGCCCTGCAGTCATGTGACTCAACAAATAGGATGACAAAAATATGAGCAAAATGTTGTACACAGTGAACAGTACTATTGTATTTTTTTTACATTTATTTTTTAATTTAAATATTGCCTTTTTGGTGTTTTTCCTGCTTTTATTTTTGTAAATGTCTAAAATGCATTTTATGAGATTGGAGCTCATTCTTCGTATATGTTATCACTATATTGTTGTTAGTTTAAATTCACGCTAGTTGTCCTGCCTCTAATTATAAAACAAATGCCAAAATAATTCATTGCTGCACAACAGATAATAACTCTGGTTTCCCCAAATAATGCATTTGATCATGGATGGCAAGGCAGACAGTTATACAGTCTGTTTAAACAGTCTATGTAACTGTGCAGGTAAGGATGCTGACTATTCAAGACCTCCTCTGGTGAAAAATCACGTTTTTTTTTTTTAACCTTGTTTACACTTTTACAGAAAAATACAGTTTTTTATAAGGTGGAATATAAATCATGACTAAAACAAGCAATCAGTGATGTGGCTGAACATTTCCACCTTGAAACTGCAGTGTTCCAATATTCCAAGTCTCTCAAACACAGATTAAGGCTTTTGGAGTTCTATGCATAACAAGCTTTAGGAGCCAATCCTGTCAACTTGTGGCATGGGCCTTCCTGTACCATTACTCTTCTTAAGAAGCAGTGTCTGTGTGACTGACCGAATGCTAATTATAATACTTTTAATTGCCATTGTGTAGCACAGAGTACCTCAATAGCATTTGAGCAAAGTTGTGAGTGAGCTGGTATGCTCCAGTTGCAGGCAGTGGGTATGGGTTTTATACAGGGAATCCCTGAATGCTTTGCTGAGTATGAAATGGATTTGCAGTCATCAGATCTCAGCCCAGAACAATGTGCTTGACAGCATTCTATTGTATTGCAAAAGACACCTTTTCCTTTAATTTGTCACACATTTAAATGGACTGATGCTCCTCTGCTAACTTCCCCTTTGAACAGAAGACAATTATTGAGAAGATAGTTGTGATGTGTGTCACATCTAGAACATTGGTCTTACTTGAATTGCCCACATATTGAATTTCCCTTCTGGGATAAATAAAGTATTTTTCATTTCATTCACATAATGCAACATCAATACCACTGCAGTGTTTTCCAGAAATGAGAAGCACTGCTAAACCAAAAGACAACAAAGTCTATACCATCAGCAGGTTTGCCACACACATTTCAGTCATAGTCCAACTGTCAGTTTTTCATCTTTTTAATTTTTCTTAATGCAAGTAAAACTATTTGGAGCAAACAAACTATTTTGCATTTGCTGCATTTCATCTAATTTTACACAAGGACGCCTATTAGACCTGACAGAGGTGTTACAGTCAAATTTATTCAACCATGAATGCTTGATATAAACAAGTGTGCACGAAGGGGAGACCTTGTCCATAAGGTCCCGATCCTAAAACAAACGCCTACCTGAGATTCAGTTCAGTTCACCTATTCACGTGGTATTCACATAACATTGTAGACTATTTAGCTTTCTGTGGCATATCTTAATGCTACAGTACAACATTTTGGACAGCAGTTCTCAGTGACAGTTTTGGAAATTCTACAAGCTACAATGTTTGCCCTACTGTTTTACAAAAGAAAAGTTAAAAGTCATAAAATTTGATTTTCTTTTCTTTTTTTTTTGTTTTCACATTTTCTTTTTTCTCTTTCTTTTTTATATAAATCATTACTAAAACTCCTTACAAGTCTTTAGTATTGCTCTTGCTACATTAAAAAAAATAGAAAAATTACATCTGAATATTGAGCTATTGAGCTGTGGATGTGAATTATTTATAAAGAGCCTTGCTCTTGAATGTTCATGGCTATATTTCAATAGTCCTTAGCTGCTTACTCTCCATGTTTCCATTCATCTGTAATGGCCAGCTTCACATCAGCAATCGCAGAAAAAAGTATGAAGCAAAGAACAAGACATCAAAGAGTTTTAAGAGGCTCGTCAGCAAAAATTGCCTAGGATTCTGCAGAGGTGCTGGGTGTCACCAGATCATCTTCTCCCTGAGCGTCTCCCTCCACTGCTGCTGTTGCTGCAGTTGCTGCTGTGTCCGTTGCTACTCCCTGTTCGGTGGCCAATAAAGAAGGGTCTGTGTCGGGGGCTTCGAAGGACTCGCCCCCCAGGTCAGTCAGTTTGATGTAGCCCTTGCTGTTGGAGCGCTCTAGACGGGGGCAGCTGAAGCGCCTGGCTCTGTCACCTTGACGACACGCAGACAGAGACAGGCTGCAGCGGCGTGCAGACCTGGGCTGATCCGTGAGGGAGTTGAGCGACAGCTGTGACCCCATCACCGTGGCAACAGGCAATGGAGGAAATAGCTGGGTCCACTGCTGTTGAGGCTGAGCCTGCAGTGCCCCCTGTTGGTTAGCTGTATCTGTGGATATCTCCTCATGGCTCTGATGGGGCGGGGAGGAATCAATCATCAAGGCCTCCTCCTGCTTGCAGTCCATGTCGTCAGTCTGGCTCCTGCTGGTCTGTCCTTCCTCACTAATGTGTTCAGCAGCAGCCTCAATAACAACCTCTTCCTCTGAGCGCCCCTGTGCCTGTGCTCTTTCAGACTCCTCCACCTCACAGTTGTTCAGTTTGATCACAGGGAGGGTGAAAGCGTTTACAGAGGATGTGACGATGGAGGTGGTCTCCCACTGTCGAGGCTGTGGAGCATGCTCACTGCTATTGCTGTAGTCTTTGTAGATGCTGTAGACAGTGTCAGTGAAGGTCTGGACATCTCTGGACCAGCTACGTGGCCTACTGGCCAATGAGGAACGTCTGAACACCTCATCGCCCTCTAATTCAACCTGGAAACCAAGTCCAGTGGAGGGCCAGGAACTGCGAGTAAGCATCCCACTCGCAGGGAATGAACCCGACGGGCCCTCTGCACTCCTCGACTGTGTATAGTTCACCATGCCGTTTAGAGGGGTGTACTCTTTAGACCGTATGCTGTGCAGATCTATCACTGTGGAGTAGATGTCTCTCAGGTTAATGATTTTAGTTTTCTTGTCTCGGTTTTCATGGAGGACTGCATTGGCACAGATGAAGAGGAAAATGCCGATTCCCATCACCAGTGGTCCAAAGACTTTCAGATTGTCTGAGTATAGATAGTTATCCAGGAAGTCACAAAGTAAGCCACAGCGAGGGGAAGGGTTCTGGACACTACTGTTAGAATGGCTCTGGTTGACAAAATTTGTCTGGCCAGAGGGAGGCTTATCATGGGTCAAGTTAGAGGAAACAGGAGAACTTTTGGAGTAGCTCATCCTGTTGGCGTGGTATGCTCCAGTTCTGCGGCGCTCCTGGTACTCCTGCTGATTCTGGCTGGGCCAGTAGCCCAGTACAGCCATGGAAACCCCAACCATGAGAACTACGACTCCAACGGCGGCCACCAAACCAGCTGCTGAGCAGAAATTTAGCTTTCCCTTCACCACAACTACATCATTCTTCTTTTTTTTCTTGGATTTCCGCTTCCGTTTGTTTTCTGCTCGATTTTTAGATCGGAGTGAATCCTGGCGCCTGTTCATGCGCAGCAGGCCACCTGTGGCTATCATGGTGGCGATTAAACAGCCGGCTTGTCACTCAATCTGTGAGAACACAAAACAGAGAGGAGAGGATGTTTATTTTATACACATGTAATCAAGGTTCATCATGCATACAAGGCTGAAATATGGACCTCGAAGGTCCTGAATTTACTTACATTTACTTATATTTGGCTTAGTTGAAAATCTGAATGGGAAAAGGTCCTATGCACCCTAAAACACAACATAAATGGAAGGGCCTTAAAAGAATAATTTACTATTTTTAGAAAAACTACGTTTAGTCAATACCATTCTCATGTCTGTAGGATAAATGTGAAATTAGAGCCAGCAGCTGGGTGGCTTAGTTTAGCACAAATAATGGAAACTTGGACAAAAAGTTAACCTACCTTTGTCTAGATATAACAAAATCTACCCACAACAGCGCTGAAGTTTATAGTTCAAAGTCATATATCTTTGTAGTTTAACCAGAAATACAAAAGAGCCATAGTATCCTTTTGTTTTTTCCCTTCTTCTTTCAGTGTGGTATGGCTTTTTGTGCATGTGGAAAGCCTGTAAGCTTACCAAGTCCAAAGTTCATACCAAACAGAGTCATTCTCTCTCACAGAAACCATTGTGTCCAACCTGCCTGCAACACCTAGTTTGAAATCCAGACTTTTCTTCCGCTACTTATTTACATCACCATGTAACACATTTGCACCTGTCTGGTACCAAGTTTGGCCATCAAACAAAGAATGAGCATCCCTTGCAGTCCGCCATTGTCACCTCACTAGAGCTGCTTCTGCTACTGCTACATCTGTTTACTCAGAGATCTGAGGTGGTAACCAACCTCATTTTCGTCTGGCCAGCTTTCCAATCAGAGCAGATGAGGCTTTTCTGAAGGGAGTCCCTAAAGAGACAGGAGCTAAAACAGATGATTGGGTGAGAAGAGGTGCTTCAGCAATCTACAGTATGAGAAAAATAATGTGCTTTTGAACAATAAGGCATGAAACATATTCGAGTAGAATCAAAAAATATAATTTGAAATCTGTAAATGTATAATGTATGGGCTTTTTAAAGGGGGACCAATGTGCATTTTTGCCTCGAGGTCTGCTCTGGGTTTTATCTAGCGCTGTACCAGAGATGATCCAACAGGTAGAGGACCAATCCAGCAAAAGACACATGTGATATTAGTCATCCGATGGAGATTTAACCAACAGAAAACATCCATCCGCCGCCGCTGCTGGATCTATGAATACAGTTATGTGGGCAAAACACAGACAAATACCCAAGTTGACAACAGAGAACAACAAGTGCTATTTATCTAAATTCAGCTGTGCTGGCACAATATCAACCTATGGAAATGTAATGTGTCAAGACAGAAAGCCAGCAGGCATGTTCTCTCCACCTCACCCTATTTTTTTTTTTTTTTTACTCTCATTCTCGTTCTGTCTCTCCTCTCTCCAACCTCTCTCTCCTACCAACACTCTCATTCCTGCTTTCTACCCAAATCCATTTCACCATCAACCAACGCAGCTGTGCTTCAAGATGACAGCGCCCTTCACATAGAGCACAGCACAAAGGCAAACCCGAGCTATTAGCCATTTGCTTATACACAAACACAGCCTCTGCCATGTAGAACGTGCACATGTGTGTCTTTATGATTACGCAGTACAGGCCAGTCACTGCTGTATGATAGCAGAAGCTGTGGTCCAAAGGGCAATGAAGCCACCAACACTTATCATGATTACAGATGATGAGTTTCAGCCACATGTGGTGAATAACAATGGGAGGATAAGGATGATTAATTACACAGATTCTAGCTTTCCCTCCTTGATTGTGCTGGTGGCTAGATATTTAATTTGATAATTTGCATCTAATTGTGTATGACTTGGGGCTTAGCTTCATGAATGACTTATTTCACAAATTCAAAAACTCATTTTAAGCAGCAAGTATTAAAAAAATAGGAGCTTTTTAAAGGTTACAGATGGAGGCCCTTAACATCCCCTTTTTAATTCCAGTTTTTTGCACGCAATTCCCACTGAAAGTAGAACACAGAGCTCTGCACCTGAGCTTCAGCAAACATCACACCGGTACTCAGCTGCTGTTTATAGCGACTTTCTGTGTATATCACATCCAATAAGCACTCAAATGCCTCCTGGGCGAGAGCAAGTCAACCTGCACTAACACTGATAAAGCGTAGGCAGACCTCTCTATGATTGGGGAGAGCAGGGCAGCGGTAGCGTGGACCAGAAGTGGGTGTGGACAAGTCGTGGTTGTGTCTCTGTCTGCGGTGCTGAACAGGAAGCTGCCAAAACTCCTCGATTTGCCTCCTAAAAGCCGCTCATCTGGCAGGATGGAGAGGAAAGGAGAATGGTCTTAACGCGCGCCCCCCACCAACCCCCTTTCTCCATCTGCGGGGGCGCATATTTTCACTCAATGTTGCATGAGTAATCGACTGTTGACATTACGGCGCATCTGTTTCTCTTCTTTTTGGAAAATACCGCGAAACAAATATGTGCTGCCGTGGAGCTGGAGGTGCCCTGAAAATGTCCAGAGCCACGGCGACGCATCTCGCTCCAACACAAAGCCAAAACACTGTATTCTGTTGCTCTCAAGGTGCAGACACATGACAAACATCCATACCTTCACCACGGCCTGACGAAGCCCATGCTTCCATAACTAACACTACAACTCGAGCGATGTGCTTACAATCACACTACAGAAATAACCAACTGACGTCTCCCACCAACTTATTAGAAATCGGTATCTAATGGCAACATCTCGGCCATTAAAAAAAAAAAAAAGTTTAATACAATGAGCAGATTCCCGATTACAATATTGCTATTTTATCCACATTTTCTCTCTATGTCCATCGCGCATTTGACAGATGAAGCATCATACATGCGCGACAGATCGAAATAAATGCATCAAAACGCAAAATAAGCTCAATTTTAATCTCACGAATAAAAGTAAACAGGCAGAAGTGCGCAGTTCTCCAAGTCCAACGCCTTCTTTGCATCAAAACTCTTGTCCCTGGAATCTATTCAAGAGCAAAACCCTGAAACTAGTCTGTCACCGAATTAAAAGACTTCCTTAACCTCGTTGTGCCTCGAAACAATGGAGTCAGAATCGACTATTAAACCCGAAAGAAGCAGTTGGCGGTAAAAAGGCGCAGCGCGGATCATTGGTGACATGAAAAATCTCATCAAATGAAACAATCAAACAGCGCGTCTCTCACCAGAAATTGTGGCTTGACAATAAAACATCTTCAAAGGCGCGCTCCTCGTTCAGCTGAGCCTGTCGTGGTGCGCCACTTTGGTGCCAAGAGCTGGAAGAGTGGGTTTCTTGTTAGACGCGGATTCACAATAGACCGGCAGGGGCGGGCCAACCGCATTTCTATTGGCGGTGATTATTGGGCACGGGGGTAAAACGAGGGTTGCTAAGAGCGTTTATCCTACTGTATGCTCGACTCCAGATATGTTTCTCCATATTTCTAAACTAAATAGAAACATGTATTTTCCCCAGTGTAAGGCTTTTGCACAATGGCTAGGGGATTTTTTTTTTTATGACAAATTGCTACATTAGACTACTTATTTGTGCGCATGTTTCTAATAAATGGGGTAGAAATACAATGCATGAATACAGTATTATGCTATAGGTCTCAAATTGCACGAGTTTAGGTGAGAGAATGGCATATTGAATACATCAAATCCATCATCTCTTACATCATGTGCCTTCCCCTTGGGTTAGATTGCTGTAATTGCTCGTATGCTGTGCCGTTGTGTTTAACAAAATTAAATATGACAGAGTCCAGATGTGAGACTGGAGACAGAGGCAGCAGCTTTACACTGGGCAGGGGGAGGCATGCGTAACAAAGCTCAGCGCTGATGCTCCAGAGAGTTGACTGCGAATTTATGACCCAGAAATGTGTTTTGTTTATGGCATAAATTATTGGAAGGAACAGGAAAAAAGAAATCCAGTGTGCATGCCGTAGTCAGAGCTAAAGTATACACGGACAGGGGAAATAATCCAGGGGTTTTTCAAGAGCTGCCTTTAATCCTTTAGCGTTAACCAGTGCAGAGTTGGTCTGGGGGTCTGGAGCAGCTTTCAGCAGGACTCTAAGCTGTGCAATATAGGAAGATAGAGTGACACATAACAGATGTTCCTGAGCTTGTCACACAGACTTAAAATCTCCAAGCAGCAGCTATCATTACAAAATAAACAGCATGAAACATGTCTTAACAGCTTTCAGAAGTAAAATGGAATCAATGATATGGAGCCAACTTGACTGAAGATAAACCTGGTGTTAGGTGAATTATTGTCATTTGGAAGGGCAGGTGGAAGCCTCACCGGCCCATCAAGTGTATTTATACCCTTATACTCACTCATTTGAAGTAGCTGTGGAGAGCAACTCAGAGACAATGAGGTATATTTACTGAACTTTTTTTTTTTTTCTTTTTAAATCTTAAATTTTCTAAGTATAGTTTTGGAAATATACTTAATTTTATCAGCAAAATGCAACCAAAATCACACTACCCTTAGTTACATCATTGTGTAAACGTGTGTGTGCGTGTGTGTGCTATGGCCTTTTTGATTTGACAGTTGACACTGCAGGCGGTATGACATGCAGCAAAGGTCTGGACAGCATGGAATTAAATCCCACTTATTTCAAATACAGTTTGTTTTTGATGTCTGAGATTCACCACAAACTCCCTCAAATTTGTCTTGTTGACTCTGTAACACCTGTTCTGCTGAATCTATTTACTATATTGAATGCTTTCCTGTTTACACAATGTAGGGCTACAGAGAGGTATTCAGGGTAAAGGCTGAGAGTTATCTAACAGTTGTGGGAAGCATAGTTTGCATCACCTACAGGTGAATGAGCAGATTGCAGACTAGTGCAGAAACTGCAACAAAAATTCTGCAGACTTTCTAACTTGCCTTAATGACTTTACCCTCACAGACTTAATAATTTATTATCTAGACATCCACAGGTAATTAAACCTATCTAGAACATAGTGATGAATTATGGGTGCAGTGGGGTTTCGTCGTTCCTCAAAATGAAAAAAGGGAATATGAAAAAAGTGCAAAGAGGGGAACGAAAGACTGAGAAGGAAAGAGATAGTGAACTTCCATTATGCCCCAGTCTCCGATGCTGCGTCTTTCATCTTTGGGAGGGACATTCCCATCCCCACTGCAGCAGTAATTCAATAATTCAATTCATTCCTCAGTGATCATATCATGTCTGTCATGGTTATTTAAGACACCACTCTTCTGTTCTGTCTGCAGTGAGTGATGTCCCTCCTATACAAGCCTCTCATATTTGCTCCTATACCAGTTTCTGATGCTTATCAAAAAAATAAAATAAAATAGATCATCCCTTCAAGCAGCCCAGGAGATGGTGCACCACAGTTGGGCTCACATACACTCCAGTGTCAAAAATAGTTTCAGTGATTTTTCTACTGTAACCTAACCGGCTTTGCTACTGTATCTGCACAACCACAGCACAGAAGGAGACATTTGCTTTGTCCTCTAGCTTGCTTTCCTCCTCCAACACCCTTTCTGTGTGTAGTGTGTGTGTGCAATATGCTTGTTAGCAGCTAAAAGATCCATCTGAAGCAGTTTCAGGAGCTGCAGGGGTTTAATTTCATTTCTTGGACCCAACCAGCTAATTGGAATTGTGGAAAGTGGGAATATAGGCTCAGCGAGAGATCAACTTCCTTCAGGGGACATCATCATTACGGTCTATGTTGCTGCACAAGTCAAAGGGCTTTACAGTTGGAAAGATAAAAGGAATGTTCCTTTCCAAGGTCTTAGAGGTAAGGACACAATAGCTGATGGATGATGGCCCACCAATTAATGTGAAACCTGCACTGGTCTGAACTGTTGAGGTCTTGTGACTGCTGAGATGTACAATCGATGCTCAAAGGATAAGGCTACCCTTTTTTTTTTCTATTTCTAACAATATTTATGTTTTCTGATCAAAGTCCCATCAAGTCAAAAACAAATGATCCACCAGTCTCTTCCCCACTCAGACACTCTTGTTCTACTGAAATTGTACTTTTCTTTAAAAAAAAAAAAGGCAAATTAAACTAATCAAACAGCTAGGCACTGTAGTTTTCAGCAAATGTTACTCAAACAGAAATGTACTGTGTAGTTGTTAGAGACTGTTTTCAGCTGCAGATGAATACACAATTGATTCTCTGTGAATATTCATAGCAGCTGAACAGTGTGTGTGGTAGACTTATTAGAAATTGCTGACTCTATGTTTATTATAACAAAAGAGACAGTCCAGTGCTACAGAATGCCTAACTGATGTTTTTACTAGTTTTTGTACAACAATGGAGCTCTTTGTTACAGATAAAAAGCTACATTAGTATATAGCAACAGAAGCAATACTTATTAGTAGCATCAATTCATTGGTTGGTTTGCATTTATTCATGGTATTTTTAACAAAATAAAAAAATAACCCCAAATTTCTCCTTTAACTGGATTATTTTTTGTAACTCATTAACCAAAATCTCATGTGTAAATCACAACATGCTATCAGTGCATGAATAAGGTGAAATAAAACTGTAGGTTTTTAAAGCCAGAGTATTCTTTTTCACCATGATACAATTATTAAATCCAAACCTATCCATCTGCTGACCCTCTGTTTTTAGTTGAAGTTATAGACCATGTTCATTATCTTGCACAATGGTATCCCAAGAAAGAAAGTCCACATAAATCACACCAGAGTTTCCCACAGTAGCCATCAACTGCACCACTGTCTGCTCAGGTACTATGGGGAGAAGACCTTCTTTTGATGAATGACCATTAGGACCCATCTGCAGCTTCTAGTTGTGGCTAATGAGATGCATGACAGCGCTGCGACTGATACAGGTCATGGAGACATATGGGCATTTCTGGTCGATTCATTTCTATGTTCGGCAGCCATGCATCTCTGACATTATGGGGAATGCTGAAAATGAAATGGAACAACCAGTCGAATCAGGCAAAAGGGACCAGTAGTCGGGTTACCAAGGAGAAAGGATCAGGAGAGTGCAAGGCAAATGGAGGAGGGTGCGAGTGGAGAGCAGCAGGTGAACACTTGTTCCCAGCAGGTAGCCAATTCCCACTGGTGACCTTGTTTCATTTCCACAGTGTAAATGTCTGATAAATAGGTGAGCAAGGACCCAAACATGAATAGAGGCCAGCATTAGCACACATATCATCAGCTTGTAACACTAATGGGAACTCATGGGGAAAATATATAGAGGTGATATGTTCTTGTAATGGAAAACAGCCCCAGATAGCAAACTCTAACAACTCTTTGAAGTTTATACTGAGTTATACCAAAGTTTGCCAAAAGAAAACATAAAAACAAAGTCTGAGAGTTTCTCTGAATGTGTGCATGAAGTGGATAATAACGCAGCATTGAGCAGAGTCTGAATTAGCTCAAGAAAAGACAGTAATTACAATCCTCAAAATAAAAAGAGCTGCTCCCCCAAAACTGCAGGATCATGAATCTTGTAGGCTGAGCAGCAACAAAAGAAGCTGTTTTTTCACTGTTTAGCTTCATGGCCACATTTTGCAGTGCAGTGAGGCTGTTGCGCAATCAGTACTAATTCTCAGGGCTTGTAAGATGCAAGCTTCATGAGATCAGTGAGAAAGCCTTCTTTGATCTCCCATGCTAGATAATATAGGTCATCTCTTCAGGGAGAAACAACAAAGACCAAATGAGGCGGAAAATACCATTCTACCCACCTCCAGGAGCAAGAAGTAAATAGCCTCTCAGATGAGAACCGCAGCAAATAGCCCCGCAGACCTATTTTTAGGGTCTTGATCTTTGCCATTTTTAACACAACGGTCCATCAGCTTGTATGCTGACGAGAGAAAAAGGAATTTCTAAAATGTGAAATATTGCTTCTGTCATTTTCTATTCTGCTGCCTGTATGTGGAGCCTGTTCAGACTGGGTATCCATGGCAACCATTTTATAATGCCTCGTGAAACACCTTAGAAGAGGTTCCTTTTTATCTGGGCTGGAGGGCTGGGTCAGAGGCAGCGAAGACTCAAAAGAGAGGGAAAAAGTGACAGCTGACGGCTTGTGCATGATATATTTTTTCAGATGACATTCTTGTAAGTCACGCCCTTAAATTGAATGACTTGCATAAAAGAATATGATAGGGGCAAAAATGAAAAGAGGTCATTCAGAGAGGCCAGAAAAAATATGATGACATGAGACATGCTGGCACTGACATTCACTGTACAGGAGCATGTTCTCAGGATCCTGGAGGACGAGTCCAGTCATGTGGAATACAGCA